CCTTCTGTTGACTCAATTTCCACGTTGTCTAAAAGGATAGTTGTGTGTGGATTGCCTTGGATTAAAAAACGGAGCAATTCAGTTTTGTTGGGGTTGAGATTTAATAAATTGGAGTCAAACCACTGCTTTACGTTATTTGCCTCAATAAAAGATTTTAATTCTAATTTCTCGGAAGTTGAGCCAGACAGAGCTAAAGACGTGTCATCCGCAAAAAGACAGATCTCTCCAGCCTCAACACTTGAAGGCAGTTCATTGATATAAATCAGAAACAGCACAGGTCCGAGGACAGATCCCTGGGGAACCCCACAAGTGACGGTGTCCCGATTGGAGACAAAGGGTCGAGCACACCCAGAACTGTCAACACCTCTGACCTCAACGAATTGCTCCCTCTTTCTAAGGTATGAGGAGAACCACTCCTGTGCCAGCCCCCTAACACCAATAGATTCTAGTTTATTGATGAGCATATCGTGATTTACAGTATCAAATGCCTTGCTCAGGTCAAAGAAAAACCCTAAAGCATTTTCTCCTGAGTCAAGAGCCCGTACTACTTTTGTTATAAGTGTAAACATTGCATTGGTGGTTGATTTCCCTTTTACAAATCCAAATTGGTTCTTAAACATAATATTATTTCTTTCTAAAAATTGTACTAATCTTGTTATTACTACTTTTTCAAATATTTTTGAAATGGTCGAAACTAGAGTGATGGGTCTGTAGTTATCGCAAGTGGTTGGTATGCCTTTTTTATACAGTGGTTTAACAACGGAGGTCTTTAATAGGTCAGGGAAGGTTCCTGCTTCAAAAGAACTGTTGACCGTTGGCTAGGGGCTTTGCTATTATATGTCCAATTTCTTTAATTATATTGGGAGAAATTTCGTCCGCCCCGGAAGACTTCTTATTTTTCATCTCATGAATTATTCTTAAGATCTCAATTTCATCTGTTTTGTAGAGGAAAAACGAGTCTCTTACTGAGCTTATAGTGTTTAAGCTGTGGACTCCTTTGGACTTGTTTCCAACGTTCAAGAAAAATGTATTAAACATCTCAGCAACAGCGGTAGGATCGCTTACCACTTGACCAATGTCATTGATAATCTTAATCGGTTTCATTTCATTGTCCTTACATTTTTTATTTTTCTTTATTGTTTGCCATATTGCTTTAGATTTGTTGTCGGAGCCGTTGATTTCTTTTAGTATCTGGGCTGATTTTATCTGTCTAATTTGGCATCTATATTTTTGTTTCATGTGAAAGTAGTATTGTCTCATATAATGTGTTGAGTTAAGATCCTTAGTTTTTATATAAAGTTCGCGAACAGTTCTTCCTAACTCAATTGTATCAGGTCCAAGAACTATTTTCCTCCTATCTTTTGCTAATTTGTTTTTCAAGACTCTCTTGGGAAACGCGGTGTAAAAAAAGTGAATTAACGTTGTCTCAAAAGCTGAATATTTATCATTTACATCATCTAGGGAGTACACTGATTCCCAATTTTCTTCCTTTAACAATATCTCAAAATATTCTTTAGCTGAGTGTGTAAACTTTCTACAAAATATTGATCTGGGCGCTGACGATGTTTTTGTGTTTGGAAGTATTAATGTAGCAAGTTGGGTGTGGTGATCTGAGAGGGCTGACACTATCACGGAACATCTGAAATTTTCATCCTCACTGTTTGTAAATACGTGATCAATAAGAGTTCTGGAGCTTTTGAATTCTCTAGTAAAGGACTTAACTCTGTTGGTCAGCCCAAAGGAGTCCATTGTAGCGATATATTGAAAGGCTGTAAACGATTTAGTGGCCAAATCTATATTAAAATCTCCTACGATTATGGTTTTGTTTTTGTAATTATTGTATTTATCGAGGCATTCTACTAAGCAGTCAAGAAAGATTTGATGGTTATTTGTAGGTGGTCTATAGCCTGCAACGAGAACAACTGTTTCTCCTCCACAATCGATTAGTGCTCCGGCTAATTCACACTCTCGCCCTCGTGGCAATACAAATCCAAATCAATTTTTTGACAACAAAGGCCATTTTTGGCGAGTATACAGACTCCACCTCTCTCAAGATCTTTTCTGCAGAATGAAGAAACGTTGTTAAACCCCTCCAGTTTAAATATTTCAAATTCGTTTGGTTTTAAATTGTGTTCTGTAAGGCAAACAATATCTGGCATCTCTGTGTCGAGGAAAACTTGCAACAGTTCTAATTTCGAAGCAATGCCTCTAATACCATTACCAACTGGCGATCGTTGACCAGATGTCTGGATTGATCTTGTCAAATAAAATTTACTTTTAAGAATTAATAAACTAATATTTACAGTATTTACACTACATGGCGGCCGGATTCAACTCAAAAGTCCATTGCAGTAGTAAAGTATTCCTCAATGGAATAAAAACACTTCCTACTAAGCCATTGTTTTAGTTTGGTTTTAAAAGGTTCAAGAAGGAGTTCTTTAATGTGAAGGGGCAGTCTATTGTAGAGCTTGTGTGCTAAAACTGGAAAGCAGTCCTTGGTCTTTGATAGCCTACACCTCGGGACATCCACATTCCTTGCAGAGCGCAGGTTGTAATTGTGGAGTTGGTCTCGTGTAATATGAGGGAGCCTAGGGTCAGTTTTCAAGAGAAGGAGGCAGTCTAGAATGTATTGGCTATGTATCGTGAGAATGCCGAGCTGTTCAAAAAGTGGTCTGGCATGATCTCGTCTACCACTCGAAGATAAAATTCTAACAGCAGTCTTCTGCATAATCAGAGCTCTAGTAGTGATCGGAGCATGGCCCCATAAGACCAAGCCATAGCTTAAATGGCAATGAAACAAACCAAAATAGGCTAGTTTAAGATAGTCAGACGTCACCTGGGATTTTAGTTTCCTTAAAAGACAATTAACTCGAGATAACTTTTTGCAAATTACATCAATATGCTGGTTCCAGGTAAGTTTCTCATCAATGGTAACACCTAACAGTTTGACTGCACTCACACTAGGCCCATCCAACCTGGCTTCAGGGCGGGTCCACAAGCTGCAGAGCAGCTGCTGAGTTTTCCCCTCATTCAACTGCAGTCCGTTTAGCCTAAACCACTCCTTAGCCTCCCCTAGGCAGAAATTCGACCCCGTTGTTAAATTGGCCATGTTACTACCACGATTAATAATGGTAGTGTCATCTGCATATAATAGGGCATCATAGCTCTCTAGGTTGAAATCATTAATTAAGATGATAAAGAGGCTAGGTCCAAGTGTTGAGCCTTGCGGAACTCCGCTCGTAATCGCAGCCACCCCAGATTTTGCACCTTGAATTGATACCACCTGCTGGCGGCCACTGAAGTAGGACGTAAACATCCGTTGAACAGCCCCCCCAGACCCGTACAAGGAGAGTTTCCTTAGAAGCAATTCATGCGATACGCAGTCGAATGCTTTAGATAAGTCCAATAGTGTTAACAGTACGGATTCTTCGGTTTCAAAGGCATTGTGAATAGTCTCAATAGCAGCCCTCACGGTAGAGATGGTTGAACGTTTCCTACGAAAGCCATGTTGTGAGTTATTCAGCAGATTGTTGGTTTCAAAATGATCAAGAAGCTGCCTATTGATGATAGTCTCGAGCACCTTAGCTAGTACAGGAATGACACTAATAGGCCTATAGCTGTTTAATGATTCAGCATCTCCCTTCTTATACACAGGTACAGTTTGTGATATCTTTAGTTCCTTGGGAAAATGTCCCTGTTCCAAACACAAGTTAAAAACTACAGCCAAAGGGCGGGCAATAGCTCGTATATTTTGATGTACTATTTTTATACGGCTCCGAAGCATACTCCCCACGTCTTCCTGGGACCCATCCATGGGACTCCGTACTGTTTCCGAGCCGCCTCCAAAAAAGACCTGTTAAAGAAAACACTGGCGCCACCCAGAGCCTTCCTCACCGGTCCGCCGGAGTCGACCCGCTGCCCATGCCCAGTGCTGTGTCCAGGCTTGGAGGGCTCCGTCCCCCTGGAGACCAAGTCCGCTTGAAGGGGCGCAGATGGACAAATTTTATCTTGTAACAGCTCAGACAGCCGCCGCTTGCCCCGAGGACCCAGATGGAGAACATGCCTGGTGTAGCATGCACGGTCCAGTGAGGCCAGGGATACAAACGAGGCATTTTTATGAGCAGCAACGAGGGACTCTAATTGGCTGTTGATTGAATTGACAGTAGGGATTAATGATGGTTGATCATACCGCGAGGGCAAACCCACCACCAACACCCGCGTATTCTGCGCCACCTTCAGCACTCCGTCCAGCTCATTACATATGGTACTACCGTGTCCGGGACTGACAATGTCATTGGTACCACCTAACAAAACTAAACAATCATTAATAGACATGCTTGGGATTTCACTGAGATCCCCTTCTAGGACTTGTTTTAGTTTAGCATTTGGCTTTACCGTAACTCTAACATTGAACTTATTACCTAACTTATCACGAAGGAGCTCTCTTATAAAACGTCCGTGGCTATCTGAGAGAACTCTGACTACTGGTCGGGATTTAGTTACATTAGATATGCCATTTCTAAATTGTTTTTTTAATTGAATTTTTTGTGTCACCCCAGGTTTGACAGTCTTTAGGGGTGGATTCACTTGCTTAGACCTTGTTACTTCAGGAGTCTGGCTCACTCCAACTTTAGTCTGAGCTGAAATATTACTGTTACAATCACTTACACAAGCTTCGGGGACAGATATAACACTAAATCTATTTATACTTAAGACTGATTGGTTATGAGGTACAACTTGTAACTTGCAGCTATGCTTACTCTTCTTAACAACCTGCCATTTGCCATTGCAACCTTTTTTCAGATTTATTTTTAAGTTTACAGGTTTGCTATTGCTGATGGGCACCTTATCGCTAAGACTAACTGCTATTACAAGAGATACTTTCTGTGCTTGGCACCGTTAACCTATCATTACAATTTGTAAAGTGTTTTGCTGGTTTGAATTCTACAAACCAGTCACTGATGTTTGTTTTTTGACGCAATTCCTGCTGTTATGTACAGGAAAACCCACGGTTATATCTACAGCTGATAGACATGGCCATGCAGAGAACCCCCATTGATGAGGAGGAAGTAGTTGGAGTCATCGACCTGTACTTGAGCCGTGATACTGTTGAACTGGAACAGAAAGTAATGTTCGCCCAACGTAAGATAGAATTCCTTGAAGACTTCTGCTCCAATGTAAAAAGGTATGCATGTTTCTAAATCTTGTTTATCGTACTATCAAACAGGTTATAATACCAACAAAATACTTTTTTACAACTATTCATTACACTATGTATTGATTGCAGACACCACAATCTCTTACTATTGTACTCCTTCTATGTAGAAAATTAACCCTGCGAACGGCGGCAACTCACAGCGCGATCAATAATTATTAGAATATTAGATGGATTATGTTGACTTTTTATTTTTATTCACCCTGTATGGACACAGAAAATCTTCTTGTACACAGACACAGGGTATTTTACCTGTAGAACTTCACATACCCGGCTATCAGTACTGCGGACCTGAAACAAATTTAAGGAAGAGATTAGCTTGGGAAAGGGTAAAAGATTCAGACTCTAGTATTGGTGAGAGAGCTGCCGCCTGGGTAGTTACTAACATAATGAAAACTAAAGCAAAATTTGGTGGTGGAAAAACAAAACTTTGTGTTAGTAAACAAAATTGGAAAACAATTGGATCCAGCCCAAGATCCGATTTCTTTTTATCCGATCGGGCCCCAGTTCTAGCTTGGATCCGGTAGTCGGATATTTGGATCTGACCATCACTAGTATTATATACATCCAACACTCGTAACTGCATAGCGTCATTGACGTACATATGCGTCATTGACGTATATATACGTCCAACGCTCGGGAAGGGTTAAAATACTATATCAAAATTCCTTTACTTCAGTGATTCGTATAATAAAACAGCAAAGGAATAATTTTTTCAGATAGTCTACCTGATTCTCTGCTAAAATTCCAGTTGTCTCTATGGTGCTGTTAGGAATCCTTTTCTATAAAAAAAATATTTATAATAATACATTTCGAAAAATCATTTTTATTGTCAACTACACAGATTTAACTAATAGTATACATGTTTGCTAATGATACTCATCTGTCCATAGTGTGCAGAAAGCAACAGAAGAGTTCCAAAAACTGCTGAAGCAACTTCAAGATAGGAAAAAGAAGGTTGATGATATAAAGTAAGTAACAGTGTAATGAATGTATTGGTGGTGGTGTAGGTCTGTTCTATGTAGGCTAAATAATGAATAATAATATATACTAGTGCACCTGTTGCTCGAATTCGAGCAATTGCAAAGTATTACAGGTGTTATTTAAAACCGAATAACAGTAAAAATTTCTAATGACTTAAAAGAGTAAACTCAAAGATAATGTAATCAATACCTCCACTACAGTTATCGAAACTGAAAAAGAAACTCGCTCTGAAAACGAACGCTTGCTCTACTCCAGTTATCGAAACTGATAACGAACTCATTCTGAAAACGAACGTTCTTGTATGTATCTTGTGTTTGCTATGAACAGCTGTAGTTAATACAAATTATTCGTCTGTTTAGTAAACAAAATATTTTCTTCATAAGAAATACATTGGGATTTCGATGGCCTTTGAGGCAAAGCCCGAGGACTTTTATTACAGGAATTAGTGAAAGGGGGCTTAATTTTAATAAAAAAAATACTTAATTTTGACACATCGATTGTAAAAATCAGTCCATTATTAACGGAGGAGTAGTGTTTCGTAGAAATCGCCTTCACGTATTATATATAAGGATGAACGCTAGAAAAGTGTAGAAGTTATATTTCTTAATTGTGAGAGGAGAGGACAAAAAGTACATTATAGACAAAATTTGTGAAATATTTGTGAAATATCTTTAGAAAAAATCAGTACCGTAAGCCAATTTGATCAAATCATGAAGTCAAGCTGATCAAATCGGGAATTGAACGTGAATCTTGATGAATGGAAAAATCCATTAATGGTTATTACTTTTTTCATAAGACTGGGAAATCTTACATTTTGAATAATCACCAATAAAAGCCATCAATAAATCAATCAATTTTTTTTCCTTGCCTTGTCAAGTAATAAGATCGCTTTCACGGAAAATGATTACAATGCTGCCTTGCTCACGGACATTGCTGTGATAGCTGTAAGTCATCATAGGCTAGATGCTGCCGTGATTATGGAAAATCCTTAATGTTATTGCTAAGACCTCTAGTGATGATCACTAATGTTGCAGTAATCATGGGAAATCTTTTTGGTTGTACCGCTATTGCAGGGTGTTAATGGGATCATGGGAAATCACTATATATTTAACTCCGATCACGTTAAATTCCTATGTATGATGCCATGATCGCTGAAGTGGAGATGATCATGAATGTTGTCACAATGGTAGGAATCATCACAGGCTGCTGAAGAATTTCCTTAGTGAGAATAATCAGAACTTAATTTTTTTTGTAATGACAAGATTTTACCTGGAAATTTGGATCTTTGATCTTGGAAAATTTATTTATAAAATAGTATTTACTTGAGCACCCTGTAATGGGTTGTAGGTATATATCAATGCTCCAGACTCCTCCTGATGCCCCTATGCTGATATGAACGAACATCTTCCCTTTTTTGAAAAGTTTCAATATTGCTTACATCCCATGCAATCATTGATACTATCTTCTTTGTGACACTTAACCTAACCTTTTGACAACTGGGCAAACGTCATCCTTCTCATTTGTACACCGCAAACCTGGACCCTGCCTAAACAATCCAAAACATCAGTATTTGATACAATACAATACCCCCGCCGCAGCAAACCTGCAGACTAAGCGAATTTCCATTTGTCTGATTGGATTTAGACTAAGTCTACTTAAAAATATAACATTTATTCCCTTAAACAAAATTAGTTTAACAAGTACTTAGATTTGCTGCATCAGGGGGGTTAAAACAGTTTTTTTTTTGTAAAATGTTAATAGTTAGTAAGAAATAAAAACATTTTCCAAATTTGATCAAAATATGTTCGTAAACGAGCAAACTACAACAGTTTACTTATTAATTCTTCTTTCTATTATTATTAATTCTATTATTAATTATTAACTTATTAGATAACTCGTTCGAATAAATGTAGGTTTAAACGTTAATACCAAATTTCATCAAAATCAGATAATTTTTGCTCGAGTTATTGTGCTAACAGACACATATAAAAAAAAAACATAAAGACACCAAAAAAATTTTAAATTTGGACCAAAACATTATTGGTGGAGAAATCATATTACTTCCTGGCAGATTTCATAAATGACCGTGACATTAATTGACCATTAGTTTATGTGAAATATGACACAGAATGTTTTTAATTGTTTTTTTTCTCTGATATTGCTTCAAGATCTTCATTTAAATTTGTTTTTTTTCTAACTTGTTTGAATTGGTAACTTTCTCTCAATTGTGCTGTTCTTGTTCTATTTTGTTGTAACTTTTTAGTTTTAGTTTTTATAACTTTATGATTGACCATGTATATGAATTTGAACGGATGGTGTTTTTGGCCTCTAGAGACCTCAAAACAAAACAAAAAATCTGTCCCTCGTCCAGGTCTTACCATGAGTACTACGGTAATAGCTCATTCCCTATATGGGAAATTCGCTAAAAATGAAAGGGTAGAAACTTCACATTATGTGTGAAAAATAAGTGAACTACAAAACTGAAAAGCACAAAAGAAACTGGTTGTGGGTTGTTAAAATGGCTGTTCAGACTATTCAAATTCTGAACGGGACCGCGTCTCGTTGTCCCTCCGTCTAGTTGTACCTACGTCTACTTGTACCTCGAGGCCTAGGGACAACTAGTCGTAGGTACAACTAGACGTAGGTACAAGTAGACGGTGGCTCACCCGACTAGTTGTACCTGCAGATTTTTAGGAGGTACAACTAGACGTAGGTACAAGTAGACGTAGGTACAACTAGACGTGTATCCCACCGACAAGTAGTATCACCTAGCTTGTACGGATGCGACCAGTTGTCCCTACGACTAGTAGTCCCTACGACTAGTAGTCCCTACGACTAGTGGTCCCTCCATCTAGTAGTCCCTACGTCTAGTTGTACCTACGCGTATTTTGCGTCCTTATAGTCTAGTTGTATCTATCCTTCAATTCGTTACCCTGTTTAATTGATTACTGCACGAGTACTTTTTAATAATACCCTTAATTAAATCAGGAACTGCAGTGTTCCGAGTCGATTGAGTATGATTGGCAAATATTTTTTGTTGTAATATTCTCCGTGACTAATACCGTACAAAAACACTTTATTATACTCAATTACTTGTTTTTGTAAACTCTGAATTTATTTATATAAGATAATTGTTTAAAGTTGTTGTTTAAGCTAGTAAATGTTAGTTTTCTATAGAAAGGTAGAGTTTAAGTGGAAAAAACAACGATAGCAGATCTTGACAAGAAATAAGGAAAACCAAAGATGTAATATAAGATAATATAGATGTAATATGGATAAGGACTGACCAAGGGACACAGGTACGTTGTTATCAAGAACAGGGGTTTCTCAATGAGCTGCGGACAAGCCAAATTTTCCTGGCTTTTGTAACAAGTTGTTTATAATAAATTGTTGTAAGATTGTATGATTTATAAAGAAATAAAATAAATCCCTTAAACTGGTGACAAGTTGAAGGGGAGATACAACTAGCCGCAGGTACAACTAGACGTAGGTACAAGTAGGCGTAGGTACAACTAGTCGTAGGTACAAGTAGTCGTAGGTACAAGTAGTCGTAGGTACAAGTAGTCGTAGGTACAAGTAGTCGTAGGTACAAGTAGACGCAGACGTATGAGGTACAAGTAGACGGTGGCGTTCCCGACTAGTTGTACCTGTAGATTTTTAAGAGGTACAACTAGACGTAGAGACAACTAGACGTAGGTACAACTAGACGCCTGTCACCAAAATGCAGCAGGTACAACTAGACGCAGGTACAAGTAGACATCGCCCCTTCTGAACTAAACGGATCTGAAAAAAGTCTATACTGTCATCTACACTCAATAATAACATTAGCTTGACACTTATCGTGTACTTAGGGTACTTATTTGCTCCCATAAAGCAAATTTTTGTTATAAATTAAATGATGAAACAAGATTGACAGTGCTTTATTTATTCAACAATTATGTGTGAATTAACTTTTGACTATTTTAAACAGATCCAAGGTAGAAGAGTCTTCATCAAAGAAAATTAAAACAGACCAGAAAGATAGCTCAGGATCTTCACATGTGGGGCCGTCATCTCAAACGTCTCAGCCTCCTGCGTCCAGTGGCCAATACTCTGCACCCAACTACAACCAAGGCTACAACCAACCACCAGCACAGAACAGCTACACAGGAGGATACAACCAGCAACCACCGTACAATCAGCCTCCTTACAACCAGCCTTCCTACAACCAGAACGACCCCAACTACAACTACCAGAACTGGGGATACTCCCAGCCTGGCTACGGAAACTACAACCAGGGATGGGGAGGGTACAACTACTACTAACTTTAAACACTTGACTCAATCATAACTTTGAATACGATTTATGTATATATTGTGTAACACGTATTTCAATATGTTTATTTTTTTAGAACTGCAAATCTTTTTTTCACTGTCTCATAGTTTGCTTAGGTAGTCCTCTGATGATATGCAAAATAAAAAAATATGGATCCATATTACTAGTATGTCTTAATGATGATCTTAATGTCTTTAAATGTGGATTCATAGTATGTTAAATAATGTAATATGTCAATGTTCAGATTTTATTGAGTTTTTAATAAAATACTGAAATGATACTGCCTTTATTTGCGTTTAAAGAATGACATGCCAACTGTTGTGCTTGCTATTTTGATACTTATTTATCAAGGAGGATTGCTGTGTGCAGAGCTCACTGGTGAGTTTTTTATTTCTTATGGTTTCTACAGGGTGTCCACCGACCGGGAAAACCGGGAATTATGCGTGAATTTCTTATTTTACCGGGAATTTTTAATTTGTCACAATCGCGCATAAGGATGACGTTTCCATGACTGCGGGAGACGACAATGAAGTCAATTCGGCCGTGGGATTTGTTAGTTATCTTGCATGACGACGATGACGTATATGACGTTTCCGTGACCGCGGGAGACGAAGATGACGTTTTCGTGACCGCGGGAGACGACGATGACGTTTCCGTGACCGCGGGAGACGACGATGACGTTTCCGTGACTGCGGAAGAGGATTATAATGTTTCCATTACTTCTGAAAAATATCCAAATTTTGCCACGACCACGAAAGACAGTAGTGATGTTTCTGTTACCGGTACTGAGTGAGATATTCAGGATTTTTCAGTTATCGCAGAAATCGATGATGGTGACTTTAAGTTACGACAGTGTTAGAATAGAACCTCGAGTTTGGCTTGACCAAATTGGCTACGTGAAATTTTTGTAATTTCTGCATTAATTATTTCTGTAGGTCACTTGAGAAACAACCTATAACTCCAAAATTACATACTATATGAAAGTACATAAAGACAGGGGTTGGTGTAGTAATCATTACAGAAAATTTAGTAAAATTGAAATTATCAGTATTAAGAATCAATTTTTCCCGTGTCTGTACAGAGATTCAAAAAATTTTGGTATCGACATAACACTATATTGATAATAATTATGCGTTTAAGGATTAGCTTTTAATTTTCACATTATTTAATCAGTAATATATAAAAATAGAATACTTGTGTCAGGCAATAGGCTATTACAGTAATCATAAATTTTGTTTCTTTTTCTGAATGCTCTTTCCGATAACTAAAATAGCCAGCTGTGTTAGCGCTAAAACAGCATTGCGAGAGTTGGTGCAAAACACATTGGAAATTTTAGTATGAAAAGTACCAACTGAACTACCTGGATTTTTTTTTTACTCATGAATTAATCATGAATTTTTTTTCTGGTTGGCCTGGTGGACACCCTGTTCTACCAGTCATAAAAATCATTAATGTCACAAAAAAGTCAGAAATTTTACTAAGGGGTCAAATTATGCATGTATGCACAACACATTATTCTTTGTCACAATATTCATGGTTGACATGCTAGGATCCTGAGAAGTCAAGGAAAAGTAAACGATTTTTATTTAAATTCCCAAAAGTCACAGAAATAAGTAAAACCTAACCAAAATAAAAATAAAGTTCCCTATGACTGTATGTTGTTTTGCACTATGCTTAACAATTATTTGATTCATAATCCGCTGGTTCCATTCCAAGCAAGATTGTGACTGGACCCAGATGCCATTTTTAATTGGGCTTAATGATGTTTTTTGCAAAAATGTTTGAGTTAGTTATTATTAAGACCGGGTTTTGATAAACCATTCCCTTACAAAAAAGTTTAAATGCTAATCGTGTTAATACACACAAATAAAAAAAAAGTAAATTCAGAATCAGCGAGAGGAAACATATTTAGGGAGCATGCAAACAGCTCCTATGGTTGCTCATATAGTGTGTTTTAAAAGCATCGTCGCTCCTCCCCTCCTAAAGTCACTGAGTTTAGTTTGATCAACATGTAGACACTGTTGTTTCCTCACATATGAATGCTGGTTAGTCTTGCATCCACTTAATAATATTCCTCTGTTGCAGCACATGTGTAAGGTAAAATAATCAAATTTTAATTGTCTTGGCCTTGATACTTTAATCAAAATGTCTGTATACCACTGCTGCGTGCTGCTACACTGCCTTCTATCCCAACCCCTATTATCACCTAAAATTTGGCAATGCCAAACCTGTGGCTGATTTTTTATGCTTATACCTCTACAAATTCAGAAATGAAACACTGGGATAATAACTGATGCTTGTCAAGATTGCATTAAAAATATTAGGCCCCATTATTGATTAGGTTCACACATCATGAGGAAGACATCACCATAGGTGCCACAGCTACATATTAATAATTTTACAAGAATTTTAAAGATCTCTACTAGTAAACTGTACAATGACAAAGTGCTGATGTCAGTCCTCATTTATTTCAATACTAGCCGCTGTACCCTGGCTTCACAGCGGAGAGGACACTTGAGAGAAAAATTTGATGATTAAATCAGTTGTATAAAATACAAATCTGCCTTTGGTTTCAGGAACAAAATTTCATTTGACCTTTTAGTAATAAATGTAATGTGTAAAAACTTATTGACCCGAACTAGCCATTTTCTTTCAAAGAGATCATAAGTTGAATGAACCACTTTTTGCTTACTTTTTGGTTGGAACTGGTAAAAAAATTGGTGAATAAAAATGTATAAATAAAAACGTTTTACACATCAAACAGAACCATACAACCGTCCAAAGAGAAATATACACAAACCAAGCTGGTTGAAGAACTTTCAAACTTAAAAGGGAGGATGTTGTGAGAACAGTTTATTTCATAACACCTGTTAATTTCTATTAATTATTATCATATGTTTATTTGTTATTCTATGTTTGTAAAAAGGTAAATAAAGTTAGTTGAGTTTGAGTTATGACATAAAACAGTGCATTCACTTAATTCTTAGTAAAATAAAAACGTTTTTATTTATACATTTTTATTCACCAATTTTTTTACCAGTTCCAACCAAAAAGTAAGCAAAAAGCAGGTATGCCATACATTCAAACTAATACATAATTATATGAAAAGAAACTCAAATAAACCTTAGATTTCCCACATGCCTCTGACTTAATCTGATATTGATGCTTGAAATAGATTTAACATCCAGACACATTAAAACCAAAAAGTAGAAAATAATGTATAAATAAAAAACGTTTTTAAAACAAAACGTTTTTAAACGCAGTAAAAAGTAGAAAATAATTTATAAATATGTGGAGAGTATAAATACTTGTAAGATTTAAAACGAAAAACGTGGGTTGTATGCAATAGATAATTTACAATTACCTTCATACCTATTGAACTATGTAGCCAATATGTTTATTAATGTATTTACAATTACCTTCATACCTATTGAACTAATGTATTATTATCAATTGCATGCAACCCACTTTTTTAGTTTTAAATCTTACAAGTATTTATACTCTCCATATATTTATAAATTATTTTCTACTTTTTACTGCGTTTAAAAACGTTTTTTATCTATACATTATTTTCTACTTTTTGGTTTTAATGTGTGTGGATGTTAAATCTATTTCAAGCATCAATATCAGATTAAGTCAGAGGCATGTGGGAAATCTAAGGTTTATTTGAGTTTATTTTCATATAATTATGTATTAGTTTAAATGTATGGCCTACCTACTAACAAATAAATATATCAATCTATTTAATTTATTGTTTACTTTATAGAATACCAAATAAATAATAATTGACATTATTAACAAACATCTTTATATCTGCAATCAGATTGTTTATCTTTATTTTGAAATGTTTGCTTGTATAAAGGATCTCTTGGGAGCACAACCTGTATCTATTAACCTCTGCTCTTTGAAGTGTCAAATTTAAGTATTTACAGCTGACTTAAATTGATTGATATATTTACATTCTTTCAAAATGTAAACATGGAAAATTTGGAAGCCGATGGGCATAGCCCAAGGGAAATATGAAAATTAAATGATATAACATTGCATTGTCATCCATTTGTGAGCTATGTTTCAAATTTCAAGTCTCTAGCTCATCAGGAACTTCGTTTAAAATTGATATAAAAATTTGTAGGAAAGCGAGCTAATAAAAAACAAGCCCATGGGGCGTAGCCCAAGTGAAATATGAAAATTAAATTATATAATATTGCATTGCCATCCATTTGTGAGCTATGCTTCAAGTTTCAATTCTCTAGCTCATCGGGAAGTATCAAAATTTGCAAGAAAGCGAACTAATAAAAACAAGCCCATGGGGAGTAGCCCAAGGGAAACATGAAAATGAAATGATATAATATTTATTGCATTGTCTTCCATTTGTGAGCTATGTTTCAAGTTTCAAGTCTCTAGCTCATCGGGAAGTTAGTATAAAATTGATTGCAAAATTTGTAGTACCGGACATGAAAGCGGGCTAGTAAAAACGTTTTAAAAAAATGGGTAATATTAACTGCCTAAACTGGCTATAACTTAGAAATAGAGCTCTAATCTAAAAGTGTTTGCGATGTAACCAGTAAATTCACCCTTGACATAGAGAAGTAAGGTAAAGAGTAAACATCCGATGTTACACTTAAGTGGTGTCTAGTAGTCCAACATCACACCTTCGCAATCATGTAGTACTACTACAAAGCTCAGTACGGAGGAAGACCCTATACCCTGTGCGATAGGAATTTCTGTACAATGCTCACTGCTCGGGCTCTTCCTTGCTTGTCACATGTTTATTTCCGGAACAAGATTCTAGAGCTGAAAGCTCACGGTCATCTTCTTGCTTGTTTCCTCTGCATCTTACTTCTCTGTGTGTCTAATCTTAGCTTGTGTACACAAGTCTTTCTACAGTGTTATAATGGTGGGAAACTTACCTTAATACTGGGGGCCTTACCTTAAGGCCGACATTCCTTAGACACAGCTGTTAATTAATAGCCCATACAACTAAACTAAGGGACCTACAGTTTATACTGGAATCCCAACCACATTTTTGCCTTGGTATACACGAATTGGTCTAATTATCGGGATAATACTGCGGATAGTCTTGGAACTCACTCGTGTGGACGTTAATCCACACCAGGGAGTATCGCATCCACAGTGCATGCCTATAAATATCTACAATTCATGACCTGCTAGTAGCTGGATCACAGGACGACGCCATCCGTCCCAGTCGTTATTGCAGATTTACTTGGTCCTTGAACTGAAAAGTTTTAGTTTAAGTAAAAGAAAATTTATGGTGTTTCAAGTTTCAAGCTGAATTGAATAAATTATTCCATTACAAGTACTGTACTGAAAACGGCCTTTCCCCAGTCCTTAAAGTTTCAACTATCAGGCAAAGCTGAACACAGGAACAACACATATCATGTGTGAGGCAAAGCTGAGGATGTCAGAGTGAGTTTTATGTACAAAACGAAGCCGAGAGCAGGAATAATTGGAGCCTGTACCAGAAACTACTTTTGATGAAAGTTATGATCAGTTCTTAGAAATAATTGGTAAACAAACACTAGCACACGCAGTGGACAAATAGAGAACCGATTGAGAGCAAGGGAAACAAGGTATCATTGAAATGAAAATACCAGTAGCTACATTGTGTACGAGTGAAGAAAAAGTATGTACTGTGTAGTGTAGTCTATACTAATTCTCATTGTAATTTGACTAAAATAGCACAAGTTAATTTGAAACATAATTTAATTTGACAGAAACTTAACAAATTCATTGAATATTATGTTTGATGGACTTTACTCAACGTTAACACCGTCCGTTTGATCGACATTGTCTTCCCAAACTGGAAGATCTCAGATTCATCCTAGTATCACGTCCTTGTCTGGCATTGCCTTGTATTCTGTGCAATAAATATACAACACAAATTAATATCTCTTAGTAATAAATAAACTGATTTTCTTTCAAATAAGAAGTTTCAATATTGTATTGCATCTACAGTATCCAATAAGCAAAGACTTTAACTGTATACAATAAGACCTTGGATAAGCATTTGTCAACAAGAATTCTGCTCAAAATAGCTTGAATTTGTAACTGCACTATATATGAATCATATGAATGTTCCAAACCATGGTAGAAAGTTTTCAGTTATTTCAAGTTTTGCTATTTATTTCAACTTTTTAATCAAATATATTATTACTTTTACAATCCCTATTGATAAAAAAATGTGCATTTGTGTCGTCAAATGCATTTTATATGGACTACTACTACATCTTGCATCTAAATGTAATGATTTACCTCTTCATTTGAGAAACAAATCCACTGGAAACAATCACCCACAGAAGCAAGTAGACTGTTGCTAATGTTTCTATAGATCTCACTATTAAGTCATCTTTTTCAACTTCCATCTTTGCGAAACCAGGAACATGCTTAATCTGGTAATATTATATAAATATTAATCATAGGTTAAGTTAAATAAACTATTTTACTTACAGTTTATAACTAAATAGAAACTACTAAGTTTCTCAACAATGCTACTCAAGTCTAAATTAATGAATCTGTTTCCAAAGAGTTGTGTATTATCGTTAGCTATTATTTCTAAAGTTTATATACATTCAAGTGTTACAAATTGTAAAAACTTTTATTTCAATAACTTTCCAGTATGACACTTGCCAGTACCATAAAATGTATAGAAAATATTTCAAATATTTATTTACACTTTCTCCCCCTATAGGCAGACATAGTATGGAGAAATGAACCCTGAACCCTAAAAAAGGGGTACCGTTTATTTTGTTATTAATTTAACTAGTACTATTAATTAAGTTGCACTAGGTTGATGTCATTGCTTAGTACACTGGACACACTCCATTCTACAATCCTTCACTCATATTTGGGTTAAAATATGTACATAAGTGGCGTCCAATCTCAAATGAATACGAATATGAAACATGTAAATTAGTCAATTGTAGCAATTCAATTAAAACAACACATGAAGTGAATTTTTAACTAATGCACTGGATTTGTTTTGAGAACATGCTATCATGGTGGGAATGTTAGGGCAATTAGAATTTAGAAACTCTTTTCTCTAGTAATGTTTTACTGTGTAGTTTTGTTTAACTTCTTAAACTGATTTGAACTATCTAAGAATGAAATTAGTTAAGACTTTTGAGCTAAACTTACCAAGGATGCAACTTCACTTATAACCCAGAACAGTAAGTCTTCTACCTGATACCATATTGTAAACAAGGCTGCATTGGCCAGCACAATAGCTGCAACAACCTGTAATATTGGTTTGATTCATGAATGTTGCACAATGCACATCCGCTAACACCTGATGGTGGTATAACTTTCCTCAGGTTTTGACTATAGTTGTGGAGTACCGGCAGTATATAAACATTCACTAACATTTTGAACGATCTAGAACAAGTACTTTTAGCATTTCTCACACCATTTAATTGATTCGGTTCTCCATTCTTCCTAACCTAACCTGAAACAGTCCACCCTTTGGTTAGGTTATGCTTATAATTATTTGGTGTGGTAGGTATAAAACCAAAGTACCCAAAAATATTAATCATATACATAAGATGTTAATTTACCTTGATTTCGTCTAGTGATTCCTAATACCTCCTCTATAAGTGGTCAACGCTTCTTTAAATAAAACTGCAGTCCAGACATGTCAACTGAGCCCAATGAGTTCCAGTGGCCACAGTTGTAGTAAAATATTTATTTACTGTGTCTTGTCTAAATGTTTGTATGTGCCTGTTTAATGTTTTATGACATGAATATGAATGAAGATTGATATTCTTCAGAATGATCAGAAGAAAGCGACTTTGTCGCCGAAACAATTGTCTGGGGAGGTATTAGATATCACTAGACAAAACCAAGGTAAATTAACCCCTTCTTCTTTATGTTTAAGTAATTCCAGGCTACACAAAAATGAAAACGTACAAGTCAGTTTATTCTACGGCTGAATGATCTTACCTTATAAGCCATGTAGAAGGGTGGGCATCCCAGTGCACTAGGGACCAAGTCGTATTTCTCCAACATAATCAAACATGACAGCAAGAATATGTAGTGAGACCAAGTGAAGTCTTCAGCCAACAACCATGAGCTGCCGGTGCAGTAGAAGCATGAGAACACAATCATAGAGAAGTAGTAAATGAATTTGCGGCTATCCATCCTGAACTTGGGTAGAACAGACTTGGAATTTTATTTGATTTTGGAAAATTACTTTGCTGATATTCAAATTTAAAATAACCATCTGTTGTTTCCATAGTAATCACTGTCTTCACTGCAGGTTTTTGTGTTAATTCAAAAATGAATCCTTGATCTATGTTGTAAATCACAATGCAAGATTCAATATTTTACATGTATTGAGCGTTGTCAGGAATTAGTAAATGTTTTAATAAATTAATAAGGAATAAATAAGTTCTATAAAATTAAATAGGTTGCACATACCTAGATCACTTTTTAAACACCATAAAAGTTTTATGCACAATAAGGCCAGGCGCACACAGGCGATTTTGAGTCTAGCAACAGTTGCCCGACTAAAATGTTCACCAGTGTTTTAAATTGGAGTGCGCACACCAAGGAAACAGTCTAGGGGCAGTCGCGCAACTGTTTGCAACCGATGTTCCAGGACCCAATTTGCCAGAGACAGCTCTGCGACTGAATTGTCGCGGGACTGTCGCTCCAGGTTTGGTATCCATTGAAACACGTGTAGACGCGCACACATGCGACTAAATTGTCGCTGTTCCCAGTCTCACCTCAGGAATTCAGCTACTCGTGGCCAGAAGTGTCACTAGTGTTTGCTCTCTTTTTGTTGTGTGAAGTTTTTAGAAAATTACTTAAGTATGAGTGTCCATGATGAGGATGTCAAACAATTAATTGATGACGTTGAGAAGAGGCCACCTTTATATTTAAAGTCATTGAAAAACTATTCGGATATTAATTTTAAGAAGAAGAAGTTGTGGGATGAAGTGTCCTTGACAGTTACTAAAGATCGGAACAACCGAACACAATTAAGAGGATAAAATCAAAGATAACAACTTTAACAACAAAGCACATACTGTATCATTGAAATCCATTAGGTACTGTTAACGCTGTTAACGAATGTAATGTCCAACTTACGTCACTTTAGATTCACGACTAAAAAATTGCCTTTGTACGCACTTCAGCTCAACTGTTGCTCGACTTCAGAATCTCCGAATGAGTTGCGCAACATGGCCCCCGCATCAGTTATCTTTGTGTTGCATCTTATTTATTTGAGCCGTATTAAGTTTAATTGATGTCTTAACTACTTAAGTTTTGCTTTTTAATTCTGGCTGGATTCCAAAATCTTAGCCTCCCGGGCGGTATGCTAAGAAAATAATAACCCCATTTGAGTAAAACATTTGTTGAGCAAACCATCACGAATTGTTTACGCCTTTACTTTTTTTATGTAGGCTATCAATAGTTCGTGGCCTAATTTGGTAATTTTTATTCTAAATTACCAATCTAAATCGTCTATGTAGTTCATTTTTCATATAGTAAGCTGTCATTTCGACAGCATTTTTCGGGTCATCTTCTGTCTAAGCAAATACAAATTGTTATGATAAAATTTGATGACATTAACAAAGATTTCAAATAATAATTTTATATGTACTTTGTTATGCTTAAAGCGTAGCAAATTACATAATTAAATTCTGTATTTTTGGGTGCATGTCTGTTGGTAACGCATTAATGTCCTTATTTCTCAGTGTTTCACGGAATGGACAAGAGCACTTTTGATAGTGAAAATGTCAACCGGAATAAAGTGTTAAATGGTGAGGTTGAGGTAGTACTTTAAATACGTTTAACCATTGTGGAAAGTAACTTTCAATTATAGACCTACCTTAGGGGCTGTTCCTCGTGGATCTATAAAGCATTTTTTAGTTTAATAATTGGATTCAACAAATGGACCAACACGATCCGGGTGACATTTAATTGCGAAGCATTTATTTTGGCTTGAACTATACTGTATTTGCGAAGGTTTATATATAACTAGCTGTAACCCGCGGGCTTTGCCCCGTTTAACTTCTTAATTTTCAAGATGATCTCGTTCGCATGGCTCAATCACGTCCTGGTTGAAGTTCGTTCGCTACGCTCACTCACCTTTAGGTTGGAGCTCGTTCGCTGCGCTCACTTGCCTTCAGGTTAGCTCGTTCGCTACGCTAACTCGCATCCAGTTTGAAGTTCGTTCGCTACGCTCACTCACCTTTTGGTTGCAAATTAGCTGTTGTCATAAATGTAAAAGAAATAATAGTGCTGCACCCTGTTGGTAATCCTTGTAACTTTAATGCTATTGAACATCATAGAACAGAACCAACTTGTTTAATTGAAACAGCTGTTAAGATTCATTAATTCAATTTCTCATAAGGTTAACATGGGAAACTCCAGAGCCACTGGGGTGGAGCCGATTGGACGGATCACGAAATTGATGGTGTATAAACCTATTCCATGAAATTCTACACGTATGTACCAAGTTTCGTGGCAATCGGTTCAGCGGTGTCTGAGTTTATCACTGCCAAACAAATATACAAACATCCTCTTTTATACTTATAGATAGTTTTGCCAGCATATCTGCAAATATGCAAACCAACTGCTGTTCTCAATATAATAAGGTTTCAACTGACTACTATAAGATCCCCGTGCGTACAACGGGCACATAGCTAGTAGGAAATAAAACTGAAAATTTTCAGGGAATTTTTTAGTAGAAATCCAGCCATCAGGTAAATAGAAATTCGCTTAGTCTGCAGGCTTGCTGCGGCGGGGGTATTTCTAATTTACTACCGTCTGAGATTAGTCTTGCATTGTATTAAGCTTAGGGAATGAGAGAATGGATCCTTCTAGATTTTGGTAAGTAAGCTCAGGTTAGGATGAACCTCTACTCTACCCGCCTTTACAAGAGCGACATCAAACCATGCATGAACTACAGAGTTGGGTTCGCACTGTTGAAGGCGCTGGTTGTTTTTCTTTAACTGAAACATACTGTATATGTTGAGGTTGAGGGTGGTTAAGCCCAAGACCATTCCCTCAATAAAAAATTACCTAGGCAAGCCAATAAACCTTTAATTGTCTACCTACACTGTCAAACAAAGTGACATTTTGTTCATTTGAATTAGTTCGCAAACAACTTACGTTGCTGCGATTGAGAACTGAACAAATCCAAATTTAGGCCTACCATTAGTGGATGAACAACTAAATATTCATGGCTACAAAAATGCCAAATTATTTGTTCTTCTGCGAACAAGTAGACCTACCTGGAATATTTAGGAAAATGCTGTTTAAAATCAAACTTTTCTCATTACTCGTTTGTTTGCAAACCATGTGTATTAATTTACCGTACGGTTTTATTTAACTTGTTGACTACTACTGTGGTACGGGTTTTTCTTATCACACAATAACAACAGTATTTACACTAAACAAAATATAATGTGCAATTGGTTTGCTAATTGTATTTTTTCAACGTGATAAATTTTAAATTTCTTTGACGCACTTGGCCCCAACACGTTTCTACCATCACGCAAAACCAACTAGGCCTATTTCACTTAGTATCAAATATTACTTTCCAAGACATCCTTATCACTAAAAATAGTTAAAATCCGAAAAATATTGCTTAAAATATCTTTAAAATATCAAACTGCAAAAAAACCCTGCCACCCCTCCATCATTCTCGGGCACGATTGATTTGATGACTGTAACGTTACGAACGTAGTCTTTTCCACATAATAAATGTGGGAAGTTATCACTCCTTCATATGGATAATTATGAAGTATGTAATGTACTATTCACTGTCGTCTGTGTTATGTGTGTGTTATGTCTTGTAAAATTGTATGTAATTTTCTGAAAAAAAAATGGCAAGTTATTTTGAAATGATTGGCTTATCTACGTTTTTGGCTTAATCACCATGTGAGGGTTGCAACTGCAGTTGTACAACTTGACCCATTGAATCACTTGACAGTATAAAGGTACATATCTGAATCATTCTTACTGTCAATGTTTTCGACACAATCACCATATCGAGGGATCTTTAAATTCTTTCAATTTCATGTGTCTTCTGCTCGTTATTTTCTTAGTTTTTGGAATGTGCGTTCATCAATATGTGTTCTTTTGTAGTGTAGTAATTGCATTATACAGCAAAGAGATACGAAAAGGTTTAAAATAAATGATTTATAAATAAACTTTTGCACAGTTAAGTCTATAACTACCTGCATAAGTGATATGGATTTTCCTAGTTTAAAATAACTCAATCAGATATTACATAACTTACCGTACTTACCTATCCGAAATAATTGAGCGGAGCGAGCGAAGCGAGCGAAGCTCTTATACGTCGACTCTTGTGCATTTCGTAATACGCATTTCGTAATACGCAAACTCCTCCTAGACGGCTGAATCAATCGTTTTGAAATTTTGCATGGTGATAAATACCATATCGGTGAGTGCCAACATGTATATGGCGTTAAAATAGTCTCTCAGGAATCCGCCCCACTGGGTCTCAAAGTTTCCATGTAATCCTTATGGAAGCAGTATTTGACACATACACAAAGACATATGATCAGCTGTTGACTTTTGAATGCAGTAAATAAGGAAATAGCTGATAGCATTATTCCACAGATATTAGGACAGAAACGGTATGGATAATACATATAATCAAATGACGACACTAGCTTGGGTCCGTGACGTAGGAAGTGGTGCAGGAAGTAGTAAAGGTAGCAGTATGGAGTGTGGAAACTGTTTATGACGATTAGATTAAGGTATCTGCATTCCTAAAATTCTATGGAAAGGGACGAAAACAGGTCCACGATGTAGGAAGTAGTGAAGGAAGTAGTCAAGGCGAGCTGTCCGGAGTGTGGGAACTGTTTATGACGATTAGATTGAGGCATCTGCAATCCTAAAATGCTATTGGAAGGGAAGGAAACAGGTCCACGACGTAGGAAGTGGTAAAGGAAGTAGTAGAGGCGAGCTGTCCGGGGCGTGGGATCTGTTTATGACCAATAGATTAAGGTATTTGCAATCCTATGATATTATGGGAAGGGAGGGAAACAGGTCCGTGACGTAGGAAGTGGTGAAGGAAGTAATAAAGGGAAGCAGTCCGGACTGTGGGAACTTTTTGTGACGATTAGATTAAGGTATCTGCAATCCTAAAATGCTATGGGAAGGGATGAAAACAGGTCCGTGACGTGGGAAGTGGTGAAGGAAGTAGTAAAGGCAAGCAGTCCGTACTGTGGGAACT